GCCCTCGACGCCGCCTCGCCGCACCCTCGCACCCTCCTGCACCCCAACCCCTGCCCTGAGCCCCCTGCCCTGCCCAGGAGCATTGTGGGAACGTGCAGAAAGTTCTGTCCGGCAGGCAGTGTGTGGGGGGTGTGCATGCAGGGAGCAGTCAGGCTCCCCACCCTTCGGCACAACGCCCCCAGCACCAGGGTCAGCACTGACCAGGAAGGGAGAGCGCACCTTGCTGAGCCCCCCACCCCTCCGAGCACCCCTGGGCTCTGTTCTGTTGCCTACTCCTGCCCCGGCTCCGCTCCCCGCTGTGTCAGGCCCTGGGGCCTGGGTCTCGGGGGTGGGGTTATTTGCTGCTCTCTGGTTCGAGCTGGGCTGGAGCGGGTTGGTGGTGGGGCCCAGCTAGGGTGAAACCGGTCCGAGGCTGGGCCCCTCGGGCAGAGCACAGGGAGAGGGTACCAGGGGCTAGCAGTGCCCCCTGCAGGCTGGGCACCGCTTACCTGCATTGCCCCGGCCAGCCGGTAGGAGAGATTCCCCCTCTCCCCACCCCCGCAGCATTGTCCTGCGTCAGTGCAGCTGTTATTCCTATCGGCTCCCGCAACCAGGCCAGGATCTGCTCCCAACCCCTGGCTGGCCGGCCGTTCCAGAGGAGTGTGGGAGGGGGATCTGCTCCCCCCAGGATGCACTTGGAGCCCATTGGCGCAGCGTGGGGCCAGCGGGTATCTGCCAGAGCGAAGGGTGCTGGGGATGGGGGCGGGTGCTGCTACAGCTGTCCTTTGGCACAAGTCACTGGATATTTAAACCCTCGCTAATGGCAGAAACCCGTCCCGAAAATGGGTGGCATCTCCCCATGGGCACCAACACCCCACAGCCAGCCCCACAGCCTGCCAGCAGCACCAGGGCACTGGCAGAGCTGGGGCGCTCAGGGCTGGGATAGCAGGGGCTGCGGGCCGGGATTGAGGGGCACCGGCAGAGCTGGGGGGAGCTCAGGGCTGGGATAGCAGGGGCTGCGGGTTGGGATTGAGGGGCACTGGTGGACCCCCAGGGCTCGTCCCTCTCCCAGCAGCAGCCGGGGCTGTAGACTCGCAGTGCTGGGGGCGGGCTGGGGCCGGGGGCTGTTGGCTCGTGGCTGGGGATTAGCTGGGCTGTGGTTTGTTGTTGTTTCCCAGCCATGGCTGCAGCCACCTCTCAAGCTGTGACCCCAGCTGGGATAAACAAACAAGGCTGAGTGCGGCCAGCAGCAGCCCCGCCTGGGGCGGCTACAACCGGGTGTTCCCCCCAGCACCCCCTCTGGGTGGCTACAGCCCGGTGCTCCCCCTCAGCACCCCCTCCGGGCGGCTACAGCCCAGCGCTTCCCACCAGCCCCCCCCCCCTCACCCCCCGCGGGCAGTGTACAGCCCAGTGCTCTCCCCCAACACTCCCTCCGGGCAATGTACAGCCCAGCTCTCCCCCCCCCCCAGCACCCTCTCTGGGCGGCTACAGCCTGGCGCTTCCCACCAGGCACCCACTCCAGGCAATGCACAGCCCAGTGCTCCCCCCCAGCACCCCCTCTGGGCAGCGTACAGCCTGACGCTCCCCACACCCAGTGCCCCCCGGCAATGCACAGCCTGGTGCTCCCCCCCGCCCCGCACCCACTCCGGGTGGCGTACAGTCCAGCACTCCCCCCCAGCGCCCCTCCAGGCAATGTACATCCCAGTGCACCCCTCCCAGCACCCCCTCTGGGCAGCGTACAGCCTGATGCTCCCCACAGCCTGGTGCTCCCCCCCCGCCGCACCCACTCCAGGCGGTGTACAGCCCAGTGCACACCCCCCCAGTGCCCCCTCTGGGTGACGTACAGCCCAACACTCCCGCCCATGGTACCCTCCCAGGAGCCACACACCCCCAGCTCTCTGCCCCATGCCCAGCACAGCCCCATCTCTGCCCCTAGGTGGCCTCTGCCGGCTCTGGTAGCCAGTGTGGCTGGGGAGGACCGTGTCTCTCCAGCCGGGCAGGGTGGGGTTCAGGAGATCTCCCGGGGCGCCCTGGGAGCAGAGCAATGGCCCCAGAACGAGACTCGTTAGGAGCAGAAGAGAATCCAGATTGGGCGTAGCTGCAGCAAGAGCCCTGCCATGTGGGGGTGCTGTGGAGGCAGCACATCCACCCCAGGGAGTTAGCAGCACCCCAGTCATTCCCTCTCCTGGCTCCCACCCCCCCCACTCTAACCAGTGGGCCCCTCACCTTCCCAGAGCAGGGCATGGAACCCAGGAGTCCTGGCTCCCAGCCCTTTCTAAATACTAGATCCCGCGGCTCTCCCCTCTGGCCCAGTTGCTGAGTGCTCCAGGCCCCCAGATGTGCGGGATCCTCCCCCGCCCCAGGCTGTCAGAGCTCCCAGCCCGGATCCTTCATGGCACGGTCTTGCCAGCAATTACTGGGAGATGGACTGGTGTACCCCTCCCCCACAGCCGGCTTCACTTGCAGTTACTGGGGAGGGACCCTGAGCTGGGGTAGTGGAGGGGGGGCTGCGGGTCAGGATTGAGGGGCACCATAGAGCTGGTGGGGGGAGCCCAGGGCTGGGGTAGTGGGGGGCTGTGTTGTGTGGATTAGAGAATCCAATTAGAGGCCCTTTTCCAAGGGGGTTGGGGGGGCTGCTCCCAATGCTCCCCTCTGGCCTGTGACTCTGGAAGCACTGCCCCATCTGTGTCCCCCTGGGGGGCTGGGCTCTGACAGTGGTCCCTGCCCCCCCCCCCACCACACACACACACTGCCAGGCTGGCGGAGCCAGCAGGCGTGTCTGGGTCACACACACTCAGGCCTAGGTGGGGCAGAGCCATGTGTTCCTGCCCCCATTGCCAAGCCCTGACCCAAGGGCCCCCTTACTGCCTCCCCAACCCCCTGTGGGGGGAGCCGCACTGTGGGGGAAGTGTCAGGTCGGGGTTGATGTGGGGGAGGCGCACTGTGGGGGGAGGGTCAGGGCCATGGTGTGGGGGGGGCCCGCACTGTGGGGGGAGGGTCAGGGCCATGGTGTGGTGCGGGCCACACTGTGGGGGGAGGTTCGGGGGTTGATGTGGGGGGCTGCGCTGGGGGCTTGGGGAGGTTAGAGGCAGGGAGGCTTGGGGGACAAGGCAGGGGAGGATGGGGGCAGGGTGGGGGCCGTTCTGTCAGGTTTTTCCAGGGCGCCCTGACCCCCCCCCCTCTCCCCGCAGAGCCAGGCCGAGGCGCACTACAAGGGGAACCGACACGCCCGGCGCGTCAAGGGCATGGAGGCGGCCAAGACGCGGCAGAAGGAGTCGGGGCCCCGCGAGGGTGACAAGCCGGGGCCCGTGGGCAGCCCCATGTCCAGCGTCAGCGAGAGCGACTCGGACAAGCCAGGTGCTCCCCGCCCCCATGGGCCCTTCCCCCTTTCCCCGGGGCCCTTGGCACCCATGTCCCCCCAGCCGGTGGGGGGATGGGAGTTCTGATCATACACAGCGCTAACCCCCCCTTAGCACCTTCCCCACCCCCTTGGTCTGGTGCTGGCACCTGAGGGGGTACTGGGGCACCCCTAGGGTTGGAGGCTGGGGGATCCTGCCCCAGGCAGCAGTAGTGCCGGAGGGAGGACCCGTTCTCGGCATAGGGCAGGGGGCAGTCCCAGGAGTGCCCTGAGTGGCAGCTGCCAGCCTGCAGTGACGGGCTGAATTGCGGCTGCTTCTGGGGTGGGATGTCAGCTGCTCAGTGGCACCCAGGATGCTGCCCTGGGACCGGGGGGCAATTCCATCCCATCCCCAAACCCACACAGGGCAGCCCTGGCCCATACTCCAACTCCAGCTCTGGGGCAGCTCTCTCTGCAGCGGGAACCCGAGCTGGCTCGTCAGCTGAGCCAGGCGGTTAATTAAATAGCATCGAATTAAAAATTGATTGCAGTTGCAACAGGCGGGTAATGGAGCCGTGTGGCGCCCGGAAGCCGGGTTGCTCTGCAGAGTCTGGTGCTGCGGTGCTGCCGGATAAAGAACTCGTGTCCCGCCACACACACACTCCTGCCCATCCCCACACACTGCCAAGGCCGAGGTCACGGCTTGCACCTGCAGCTGGCGCCGTGTATGTGGGGGCGGCGGGGAAAGGATAGACTGGATCGAGATCCTGTTCCCCCCCCCCCGCCTTCCCATCCTTAGAGCCAACAGCAAACTAGGCTGCAACGGAGGGGCGTGGGCATCAGGTTTGGCGGGCACTGGCAGAGCTGGGGGGAGGAAGCCCGGGGCTGGGATGGCAGGGGGCTGGGGAGCACTGGCATTGCTGGGATGGCAGGGGGCTGGGGGGCACTGGCAGAGCTGGGGGCAGGAAGGCCAGGGCTGGGATGGCAGGGGCTGGGGGGCACTGGCAGAGATGGGGGCAGGAAGGCCAGGGTTGGATGGCAGGGGGCTGGGGGGCAGGTGCTCTCATGCCTGTCCTGGTTTGGAGCTATCCTGGATGGAGGGGAGGGCGCCCTCTGCAGAGTCACTCTCCTCCCTCCCGGCAGCGCCCCAGTGTTAGCTGATCTCCCCCCAAACCTCTGCCCACCCCACAACAACCCGGCATGGGAGCCCAGACGGGGCCCAGCCCCAGCTCCATCCTGGCCTAGGTCCATGCACAGGGAGGCTGTGGGGAGGGGGGCCGACCCTGCTGCTAGTGCCCAGCTGTGGGACCCCAGCCGGCCCATGGGTGCCTCCAGCTGGCTCCAAGCCTCCCCCCCGCGCCGTGTGAGCTGGGAACCCGATCAGCGCGGTTACCGGAGCCGCGCTGCCCTGCGTGCCCCTGGTCTGGAAACTTTCCTCACGAGTGGAACTGGGGCGGGGGGGATGTTTAATAGGGCCCCATGAATTATAGAGCAGCCCTCGCACTCTGGGCCTTGTGCTCGGGGGCGGGGGGGGGGGGAAGGAGGCTGGGCTGGGGGAAAGGAGGCTGGGCCAGTGCAGGGGGGCTAGGTGTGTGGGGGGGCTGTGTATGGGGTGGTGGGTGGGAATGGAGGCTGGGCTGGGGGAAAGGAGGTTGGGCTGGGGGAAAGGAGGCTGGGCCAGCGCGGGGTGGGGTGGGGGGAGGTTAGGTGGGGGAAGGGGCTGTGTGTATGTGGCAGCCTGGGCCCCCTGAGCCAGGAGAGCCCATCTGGAGGAGCCGTGGGCTCTGCCACGGGCTGGGCAGGTTCGTTCTCGGAGCCGATCGTTGGCATTGCCCAACCGTGCTAAGTGATAGATCCCTCCCCCTGCGGTGTGGGGCAGACAGCCGGCTGGGCTCAGCAGGGGCAGGGCTGGCACGGGAGCCCACCCCAAAACACTACAGGGGTTGCAGGGAGCAGGGAGGGCTCAGTAGGGGGTGCTCTCCCCTCAGGCAGGGTTGAGCCCAGAGTGGCACTAGGGGGCGCTGTGCAGCCTGGCGCCCCAGAACCTGTCCCGCATCCAACCCCAGCTGGTCCCTCGTGGGCAGTCAGCGGGGAAGGGCCCTGGGCTCCTGTCGGGTCCCGTGGGAGCTGCTCCTCCATGGGGTTCACGGAAGTTCGGCCTGTGCCCCCGGCTCAACTGGCATGACCTGGTGGCCCAGCTGAGCTGGTTTGGATAGAGGGGGTGATGTCCCTCAGGCCCAACCCACAGCCCCCAGCCTGGGGCTCCACCACACAAGCTGTACCGAGGCCCCTGAATCCCAGCCCCGGTGCCCCTTTGCCAGACCCACCAGCCCGTCTCCTGCCAGCCTCTGCTCCTCCCCACGCTGCCCCGGGGGGTGAGCAGCAAGTGCTAATGGCGCCACTGACTCACCAGCACTGCAGCAGCAGAGCATGCACAGGGCCGGGATCGCGCCCTCCATGGGCACCGTGGGGGGCAGCCTCCCCCTGCTAGCTGGCTCTGCAGCACCTAGGGGGCGGGAGGGCCTGTGGGGTCTTCAGGGATTGGCGGGACGCAGAGGGCAGAGGTTGCAGTCAGTCCTCTCCCTGCCCCAGGGCTACTGAGCCTGTCCTGTGCCTGGGGAACCCAGGGTCCTCACCCCTCGTCCAGGCACCCCACCCCAGCTCTGAACCTTCTCTCCTCTCCTGCAGCCGAGCAGCAGAATGGGCTGGGAGTGACAGTGCCCTCGGCACCCGCCTCACCCTTCAAGCCACCCTACCTGGCATCTCCGGTCCCAGCCGTGCCACCCTACCAGGCCTCCTTTGCCGAAGCGAGCCAGGAGCCCAGAGGCACGCTGGCCATGGGGGACGTGGCATCAGCGCCCGCTGGCACCTCTGTGCCCAGCAGCAATGGCAGTGCGGGGCCAGGGGCGGCCTCCAAGTCAGACGAGGAGAAGGCCAAGAAGCTGCTGTACTGCGCCCTCTGCAAGGTGGCCGTGAACTCCCTGTCGCAGCTGGAGGCCCACAACAAAGGTACGGGGATGGGGGACGGGCAGGCCGGGGGACGGGCAGCCCTGCTGTGGAACAGGGGCTCCACCATGGGCTGTGCCAGCAAGGGCCATGTGGCGCCTCCTCCTGGGCCGGCTAGTGCCCGCGGGCACTGCTCTGCCGGGTCCTCCCAGGCCCAACAATGCTGCCTTATTTCTAGAGACTAAAATAATCGTGTCCTTGCCCCGGGGCTGGGCCCCCACACGGTGCCGCGTGGGAAAGTTCAGGTCCTTTTCGAAACAGCTCCAAGGTTCCACAATCAGGGATGTCAGCAGGGTGGGCAGGGCAGCACTGGGCCAGCAGGCGGCCAGGCAGGGGCAGCACCGGGGCACATGCCCTAGGGCAGAACTCTATGAAATTATGTGGCTCCCTACACAGCTCTGGCAATGCCTCCAATCCTGTTAGCCCAGCCCTGGGCTCCCCCCAACCCCAAGTGCTGCGGGTGCCCCTCAATCCTGACCTGCAGCCCCCTGCTAGCCCAGCCCTGGGCTCTCTTCCCCCCTCCCCCCCCCGCTCTGCCAGTGCCCCTCAGTCCCAACCCCCGAGCATTCTCCCTGAGTCCTGCAACCTCAGCCCTTCTTTACCAGTTTGGAATTTCCCAGCATGCCCAGCTGCTGGGGCTCAGGCCAGGGAGCCTCTAAATTTCCAGAAGCAGCCGGGGCTGGGCCTCCGGAGCCTGCCAGAGACGGGCCCGGGCCCTGGCCTGAGCTCCCGGCGCCCCTCCCCGGGGACCCGCATTTCCTGCCCCACAGCAGCTCCCAGCCCTGGAAAAACAGAGCAAGGACCACAGTGAGTCCAGGCGGCTCCACCCTGCCCGGCTGAAACGCACTTCCCAGGTCTGCTGCCATCCAGCCACCCCCCCATGGCTCCTCCTGCCACTCCCCAGCTCATCCAGACCCCCCCCCCCCGCCGTGCTTCCAGCCCCCCCAGCTCGTCTAGACCCTCCCGCCGTGCGTCCAGCCCCCCCCAGCTCGTCTAGCCCCGCCCCCAGCTCATCCAGCCACACTCCCCTCATCCAGCTACCCCCCACCTCATCCACCCCCCCTCGCTCCTCTAGCCACCCCCCGCTTGTCTAGTCACCCCCAGGTCGTCTAGCCCCCCAGCTCATCCACACCCCCCTCGCTCCTCTAGTCACCCCCCCGCTTGTCTAGTCACCCCCAGGTCGTCTAGCCCCCCAGCTCATCCACCCCCCTCGCTCCTCTAGTCACCCCCCCGCTTGTCTAGTCACCCCCAGGTCGTCTAGCCCCCCAGCTCATCCACCCCCCTCGCTCCTCTAGTCACCCCCCCGCTTGT